GGATGTGTGCATTCACTGGAGACACACACACACACACACACACACACACACACACAAAGAGAGAGAGAGAGAGAGAGAGAGAGAGAGAGAGAGAGATGGTGAGAGGGAAAGTGAGAAATCACCCCCTCCCCACTCAGGGGAATGACCACGCTGCAATCCCTTCTCCTCCATATTCCTCTTGGGATTTTAGTCACATAAGCTCATGCACCTGGCATGAATTTCAAGCCACTAGGTTGGGCACTCAAACTGCAGTCAGCCATGTGGGAGCCAGCACTTTAACCACCATGCCACCTTCTGGCTCTGATCTGGCTTCAATTTAATAGATAATGCATTTATTGTGTGATCATTTTGTGTCATACTCCTTATCTCACTTAATCCTTATGGCACCCTTTAAAGTATTATCTGCATTTGACTAGTCAGAAATTTGCTTATGGACACACATATTAAGTGGTAGAGAAAAGTTGTGAATTTAGGTACTGTCTTCGCAAGGTCATAAGTTGGTCTGAAACTTGAAGTAATATACAAGTTGATTCATTGCCTGGAGCACTGCAGCATTCCATGAATGTGAACTTGCTCTCTTTTTCCCTAGACCATGAGGTAAGAGATGCTTGCTTCACTTGTATTCTTCTCTCCCTGCTCTTTTGCACTTAAACATGTACGATCTGTTTGTTATCCTACACTGGGCTGTTTTTTAACTACTTTTTAAAATTTAATTCTACTAATTATTATTTTTGTTTTATTATAATAATTATTTTTAAATTTTACTATAGGGCATGTGCATTCACCAGAGAGGGGGGAGGGAGTGAGAAAGCAAGCTACCAGATCTGGGACTCACTGTGGTTGGCCATTTGGGAATTCAGCACCCTAACCACCACACCACCTGATGGCCCCAGTGGGCCAGTTAATATTTGATTTCCATTTAACAAGGAAAAAAACCCTTGGGGCTAGCAGGTGGCATGGTGGTTAAAGACGCTGGACTCCCACACAGTCGACCATAGTTTGGGTGCTGGACCCGGCGGCTTGCTTTCTCGCTTTCTCTCTCTCCCTCACTCTTCCTCGCTCTCATTCTCTCTCACTCTGTCCCTCTCTGGTCACATTAAAATAAATAAATAAAGTTAAATTTTTAAAAATCTAAACAAAAAAGAAAAGAAAAGAAAAACTTTTCTGACTTAAAACCAAAACAAACAAAAATTCAAAGACAAACAGAAACTATTATACATTAGAAGACAACACTAACTTCAAATCTGAGATGAAGATCATGTTGGAGTTTGGGTTGATAATACCTTTTACTGAAAATAAACTGGAGATGAAGCTATGAAAGGTGCATGGACAGGGCCCCAAATTTAAGGACTGGAACTAACATTAGTTTTCAGTCTCACTCCAGAGCCTGACTTGTAGCTTGCTGTTCTCCACAACTGTTGCTTCTGCAGATACCTGAAGTTGAGAAATCATTCAGATCTGCCCTGAGAATCCTTGGTATTGGCTCAGAATAACACCTTTCAGCAAGCATATGAACACAGTAGAAGCTATTATGGAATAATTTAGTCCTAGTTTTAGGTCTTTAAAACCTGTTCTCCAGGAAGTACAAGTGAAAGGTATTTTTTTAGGGTAGTTGGTATTTGTCCTAAGGTTGAGCTTGACACTGAGTTGAGATCATCTTCATTTTTGTTAGTTTGCTTATTTTTTGCAAGGATGCATGCACGTGTGTACACATACACGCATACACACACACACACACGGAGAGAGTGAGAGAGAGAGAGAGAAAGAGTGAGAAATCACTCCTCAGGAGGATGGCCACATTGCAATCCCTTCTCTAGTCTTCTCCCGTGATTTGGGGCTCGTACACCTGTCCTGATTGTCAAGCCTCTGGCTCTGGGACTCTCATTGCATGGTCAGCCATGTGAGGTCCAGCACTTTAACCATGCTGGCCCAAGATCATCTTCATGTTTTATTGGGTAAAACTAACATTCTTTTTCCAGTGATGTATATATTGATGAAGATAAAGCTATTTACAATCAGAGTGGTAATCCTCAAATTCCCATAGTCTCTTTCTAATACCTTCCTAGTATTCACTATGGCCGAGCCAACCATCTTAACTGTGGTGTAAGCTGAGTAACTGATGACCCATTTCACTGATGTTTCAGCAAGTGGCATTAAACAATTATCTCAAATAGATTCCTGACTATAGGACAGTATATAAGAATTGCATTTCTTTATAATTAGGAGTATCTTTTTATAAGAATTTTATCAATAACTGTATTAATGTTGCCATATGATATGCTGGTCTGAATGTTTGTGTTCTTCCCAAATTCTTGTGTTGATACCTAAGCACTAATATGATGGTCTTAGGGCACTTGGGAAGGGATTAGCTCATGGGGACCGAGCTCTCATGAATGGGATTAGTGCTCTTGTAAAAGAGGCTTCCTAGAGCTGCTTTGCCCTTCTACTATGTGAGGATAACAGTGAGAAGGTACCACCTAGGGACTAGGAAAGGGACCCTCACCAGTACTGCTCCTCCATCCTGGACTTGCCAGCTTCCAAAACTGTGAGATATAAATTTCTGTGTTTGTAAATGACTCACTTTATGGTATTTTGTTTTAATAGCCCGAAAGGATTAAGACACATTGTAATAGGAGTATCTATTCCCCTCTCCCTGTGGACTTGCCCAATAAGCTTTGACTGAGACACAGAAAAGAATGAGCCTATCTACATTTAATAGTTCATATGATGGCCTCAGTAACATGTTGCATCAACTTCTGTGACCACTAGGTGTCAGGCTGGTACAGAATGGCTGCACTGGGGAACCTGGACAGTATTCTCTGACTTCTATGGGCATTGCATGATGATGACCATTCACAGCAAGTTCTTCCTGGATTCAGATGGGAGGTCTGAATCTTTTGTCACCTAATAGATCTATTACATTTCTTTATAACTAGGAGTATCTTTTTATAAAAATTTTATCGATGACCATTAATGTTGTCACATTGTATGATTTGAATGTTTGTGTCCTTCCCAAATTCATATGTTGAAACTTAAGCACTAATGTGATGGTGTTGGAAGGTAGGGTTCTCTCTCTCTCTCTCTCTGTGTATGTGTGTCCCTCTGAAAAAATGAATGCCAAATTACAATGGTTGTTGCTTCACGATGGACAATAATAAGTGTCTAATGAGGGAGAGAAATAGGACTAGAGAAAGGGAAAAAGGAGAGTTCATCTTGTTATATAATTCCTAGTCTTTTTTTTTTTTTTTTTTTTAGATTTTTGCCAAGTGATGCCCCTGCACTTCCTGGGAAGAGACAGAGAGGGCAAGTGAGAAATCCACGCCCCCCCCCGGGGGGGCGGGGGGAGATGGCCATGTAACAATTGCTTCTCCATTCTCCTCTTAGGATTTTGGGCACACATGCACATGTGCCTAACACATCTTTCAAGCCACTAGATTCAGGACTCAAACCACAGAGTTGAGCATGGGGATCCAGTCCCCTTAACCACCATGCCACCTGCTGACCCAATTCCTAACCTTTATGGAAAAAAAAAAGAAAGAAAGAAGGAAAGGAGAAAAGAATAAAAAAGAGAAGAAAGGAAATTCTATGTTTTGAGTACTTTCCCTCTTTTACAATTTATGTGTTAAAATTTGGTGAGGCATTTGTAATGGTGATGAGGGGATGGATGCCAAAATCCAATTACAATGTGAAAGTTGGGTCCTTTGGGAAGTGAATGGGATTGGATGATGTTTTCTGGGTAGGGTCTCTATGATTGACTCCTGATAGTTTTAAAAGAGCAGACACAGAGACACATGCTCTGCTCAAGCTCTTGCCATGTGTGAGATTCTGCATTGTCAACAGGACCCTCACCAGATGAGGTCCCTTAAATTTGACCTCTACAACTGTATGCTGTAATAAATGGGCCTCTATTCTTTATAAATTGCCCAATGTGGTAGTCATTTCTTAACAACACAAATATGAACTAATAAAGGATCAAACACAAACCATATGAAGGGACTTCAAAAAGTTCATAGAAAAATATAATTAAAGCCTGAGTTTACTTTGGTGCAAACATATTTTGAAATCATTTGTAATTCTTTCCATAATACACATTTTCTGTGAACTTTTTGAAGAGCACTCCTGTGAGTGATATGCAAACTCTAGGATGGGGCTTACTGAGGTCTGCTCTTCATTAGCCCCTGTCTGCATGCCAGAGCACAGGAGAGCATGGTGAAGCAAGTCAAGCCAGAATGGATGAGAAAATATCAAAACCAAGTCTGACATAGTATAGTTTGCTTGTAGCATAGTGTGTGAAATCTTAAAAAAAGAATTATTTATTTAATTCCATTTTTTTGTTTTCATTTTTAAATTTGAATAGAGAAAAATAGAGAGAGAAAGAGAAAGGGAAAGGGAGAAAGCAAGCCTCCCCTGTATGACTTGAATCACAGTTGGCCATGTGGGAGTCCAGCGCCTTAATCACCATACCACCTGTGGCCCCTATTATGTGAAATTTAAACAAATCACCACTTTTTATCAAAGGACCTCAAAAAGTTTGTGGAAATATGGAATTAACATTTGAGTTTATTTTGGTAAAAAAGTTGAAATCTGTGTATACTTTTTCATAATATGCATTTTAATGAACTTTTTTTCAAGACCTCTTACTGGTAAATTTAAGAGAAAAATGGTTGCATTTCAAAAGTTTGTCAGGCTTATTACTTTTTTTAAAGAGCATTAAAAAAATTCCTTTATACATTCAATCACATATGTCACTTAGCTTGTAAAGTGAATGTTCCAACATGGATATATTTCTCACCAGTCCAGTTGAGGACACTAGACACATTATCATCAATAAATAATAACCCATTTCTTTGTCCCATAAATGTCTTGTTTCTCTATTTTTCTCCTTAACATCTTTCCTCGGAGTCTCCTTCTCCCACCCTCTTCCCACACTGTATCTGGTATCTATAGCCATTTTCTATGTTTCTATATCCTCTAGTCATTCAGTTTTGATCATGAAGTGCAAAAATATGGAATGCTTCATAAGTTTGCATGTCATCCTTGCACAGGGGCTGTGCTAATCTTCTTTGTATTGTTCCAATTTTAGTATATGTGCTGCCGAAGTGAGCGCCAAGCTTTTGTAGTTTATGGTTAAAACATCCTAATTCTATACATTTGGATAACAACAACAACAACAAAACCCAACTGAACAGCAAATTTAATGTTTATATTTCAATACTAGAAACAATAAAGAAAAACAAACAGGAAACAGATTGTAAATGTACTCAGAGTTTCACTTTTAATAGTCTGTTTACTTATTTCTTTCACGACTGGAAGTGACAGAGAGAAAGAGAGACATACAGTATCTTACACAGGGTCTCAACACATGACTTTCCACCAGCCTCAGGCAGTCCTCCAGCAAGGGCACATGTGAGGTAGGCATACTCAGCGAGATCTCTGGGTGCAAACTGGCATCCTTCCATGTGGCACAGAGTGCTTCTTATTACCACTGTGCTGTCACCTGGTTCCCTGTGTTATTTTTGATGAAAATATTATACATGGAAAGTTTAAAATAGTATTTATTTATTTAATTATTTTTTAGAGAGATTTTTGCTATAGGATGGGTGCACTCACTGGAGAGACAGAGAGCAAGAAATCATCTCCTCTTGAGGGAGAGCCACACCACAATCTCTTCTCCTCCACTCTCCTCTCGGGATTTTGGGCACACATATACACACACCCAGAGTGAGTCTGAAGCCGCTGGGTCTGGGACTGGGACTTAAACTGCTGTCGACCATGTGGGAGTCCAATGATGTATCATTACGCCATCTGCTGGTCCCTGTTTTGTTTTGTTTTTAGAAGAAAATAAAACTATATACAGTTGAAAAAGAATTGAATCCAAGGTCTGTAACCAAAGAGAGTAAAGCTTGGGACCTCAAACCTGAGATGTTTACGATTCATTTCTTTTTTGTTTGTTTCCATTTTAACCCATTTAATTTTTGTACATTGACTATTTTCTAAATATATCAGATACAGTTATGTAATTATTTAAAATTTTTGTTTATTCCTTTTTGAAATAAAAAAGCTATGATTTTTCTCAAAGATCGACAGGCAAATCACACTTTTTTATTTTATTTTTTGATTGCCAGAGGATGTGTGAGCTTGAGAGAGAGACTGAAAGCACCTCTAATGGAGGTGGGGTCTTACTGTAATCTCTTTTCCATTTTTCATCCTGTCAGGATTTGGGAAAACCATGTACACATGCCTAGCATGTTTTTCAAACCACTGGACCAGAATTTGAACTGTGATTGGCCATGCGGGATCCAGCTCTCTTAACCACTAGGCCAAGGGGCTGGCTCAGTAAATCATATTTTATACAAGGAGGTACATATAATCTTTTAACAGTCACTGGAACTTGATTGATGGTACTTATGACTAAAACATGGCAGTGGAAAGCTGTGCCATACTCAAAGGAAGAAAATCTTTAAGGATAGGTGGAGAAATTGTCCCGTGCCAAGGAAGCTTAACCTTGGTAGAAACTATTAACCCCAAGGGTGAGTTGCATTTTGTGGAGGAAGACAAGACTCGAAAGATGAGCTTTGTATTCTGGATGAGCAGTGAAGGGGAAGTTACTACAGAGAGCTTTGAAACAATGATAGTTTCTCCCTGCAGCTGATTGAGTTTGCCCAAAGGGAGGGTCAGAGGTGTGGAGGTTCCTATCTGAAACTCTAGCATTGACTCAGGAGTTCCCGCCCACAAGGAGATGGGTTGATGGGAGGGGAGTATTTGGAGCAGTCCTGGGCTGCCCCAGCTGCTTAGCTGTGCACTTAGTAACCCAGTGCTTTCTACTTTTCTTTCCATTCTTCTTCCTCAGGTGGTTTTCATCCTTAGAGTTGCAAAGTATTTCTGTCTTGGGACCAGCCGTTAGCGTAATGGCTATGTCACTGGACTCCCATGTAGTCGACTGGGGTTCGCGTCCTGGACCCGGTGGCTTAAACTCCCGAGAGGAGAATGGAGGAGAAGGGATAGTGGCGTGGCCATCCTCCCTGGGGAGTGATTTCTCGCTTTCTGTCTCTTTGTCTCTCTCTGTCTGGAGAGCACACATGTGCCCTATAGCAAAAAAACCCTCTAAAAAACCCAAAGTATTTCCATCTTCTGGACAGGACGAAAGTGGAATAGTGAAAGACCTGCTTCCTTGAGGTGTTTTCTCCTCTTAGGAAAGGATTGTTTTCCCTCCATCTTCATTTAATGTCTCATTGTCCAGAATTATGTCACATGGCCGTGGTTAGCTTGATTGAGCCTAGTAAGTTGCCGGTAGTAGCTCTCCAGTCTCTAGCAAAGAAGGATAGAGCAGAGGGAGGCAGTGGATAGCTCTTAAGTAGCCAGTCTACAGTGCTTGTTTCTAGGGCAAGTTGGTGGTTACATAGAAGGTATCCAAAAACCAAAAGTGAACAATGAAATGAAAAGCAAGAAGCCAAGAAGCTAAAATGTGGCTAACAGAGCAAAACAAAAGTATTAGGTCAATGTGACAATTGACTTTTGGTGTGAGGATAATGTTGACCCAATTTTAAGATGTTGACACAGTCTTGGCTCTGCCTCCTTTAAAAATATGCATATTTTAAGCTTATATTCAGTATTTAAAAAATAAAATTACATGTCCACATAGCTTAAAATTTCAAATAATTCTACAATACTTAGTACAAAAACAAAGCCCAGCAATCCCGTTCACCTCCACGTTTTTGTTTCCAGCGGAAGCTATTTTAAATTCTGAGACGATATTTTCTGGGCATTTCTAGCTCAAGTTTCATCTTTTCCATCAGCTCGCCATCTCTTCATTGAGGTATTAACTAGATGTCTTTCTTAGACTGTGGTAATTTGGGGCAAAAATTTGGGTCACAATTTCCGTCTTCTCTGTGATAACATTTTTCTGTTGAGTATTAAAAGTATTAGTCATTTTTCTATTTTAGTTTTTTCTAAAACTGAACTTTTTATAGCTTTGTATACATCTTGTTTTGAAAAATCTATTCATTATGGAAAAATTCAAACATATATAGAAGTAGAGAGAGGAGGGCAATGAATCACCTGTACCTGTTCCCCAGCTTTAATAATAACCAACACATAGCCATATAGCTCATTTCTATCTCTACCCACTTGTCCAGTCCTGTATTATTATTATTATTTATTGTGATAAAATATAATTGACATGACATTTACCATTTTAACTATTGACATTTTAAGTGTATAGTTCAGTGCATTAAATATTCATATCGTTGTGCAACTATCATCACCATTTATCACTAGAACTTTTGCATCTTCTCACACGGAGGGTTTCTCTTCCTATTAAGCAATTACTCCATTTCCTAGTCTTCCTAGTCCCTGTCAACCATTAGCCTACTTTCCATCTCTACGAATTTGGCCGCTCTGGGAACCTCCTATAAATGGAGTCATACAACATTCATCCTTCTGTGACATGCTTATTTCACATAGCACCATGTTTTCGAGCTTTATTCATGTTGTAGCATGTGTCAGAACTTCTTCCCTTTTAAAGCTGAATGATATTCTAGGATATGTATATACCACATTTTGTTTATCCATTAATGGACACTTTTATTGTTTTATCCTTTTGGCTATTGTGAAACATCCTCTCCAACACTTGCTATTTCCCTTCCTTCCTTCTTTCCTCTTTTCCATCCTTCCTGTGTCCATCTCCTCTCTCCTCCTCCTTCTTCATTTTTGGTTAATAACTGTCCTAATGGGCCTGAGATGATTCCTGTATTATTTTGAAGCAAGTTCCAGATGTTGTAATATTTACTCACAAATACTTCAGTGGGTATTTATAAACAACAAGGACTCCTTTAAAAAATATAATCTCTACCTAAACAATTAATACAAAGTCTTTAATACCATACAACTTTATTCATAATTGCAATTGTTTCAAAAGTGTAGTAATTATTTTTCACTTTTAAGTTTGAATCTGGTTCAAATAAGGTTCATATATTACTATTATGTTGTCTTTTTAGTCAGTTTAAATCCATAGATTTTTTTTTTTACCATTTTCTTTCTTTTTCTTTTGTTTATTTATTTTCCATGATAGAAAGTGAGATAGAGACAGAGAGAAAGGAACATGAGACAGAGATAAGCACCACCAACAGGGTCTTGATGCTGCAGTTTACCTCCAGGCTAAGTTAGCCAAGATCATGGCCACACGTGCACATGCCCTGTAACCTCAGGGAGGTCTTGGGATGTGAACCCATGACCTTTTCCATGTTGGTCCATTTGTGTTACCACCGTACTACCACCTGGCTCCTTTTTCTTATTTTACCCCAATTCTATTGAAGAGTAATTGAACAATAAAAGTGTATATATATTTTAAGTGTACAGTGTGATTTTTTGTTTTGTTTTGTTTTAAGACAGAACACTTGTTATCCTGTAGTGATCCTTCCTCAGCCTCCCACCTGGGAGCATAGACATGTGCTACCATGCCTGGCTCTTTTTCAGACAAGATCTTGCTATGTTGCCTCAGCCACCCTTGAGCTTGTGATCTTCCTGACTTGGCCTTCCAAGGTGTTGAGATTATAGACACATGCTACTGCACTTGACCTTTAGATTGGGCCAGGAATCAAACCCAGGCTTCTGTGGTCCCAGCCTACAGAGCAGTGTCTTAGCAGCATGTGCCACTTAAAAAAAAAATTAGTTATTCGTTTATTTTTTGAGAGAAAGAGAGAGAGAGAGTGCACCCCCAGTGGAGTCTTAATGCTTGTTGCACTCCCTGCCTTTCTCCAGCCCCAGATCGTAGGCACACGTGTGTCCAGTGTACACAGGGCAGTCTCCAGATGTGCGCTGGGAGTCTTCCCAAGTGGAATCGCCTTGCAGAGCATCAAGTTTATTACTATGCCACCAGCTAGCCATTTCAATGTGAAATTTTCAATACACATTATTACTACAAGTAACCTAATTATTATATCCATCACCTCACAGTTACCATTTTTTTGTTATGAAAGCATGTAACATCTCAGCAAATTTCACAACTAGAGTACAGTATTATTAACTGTAGTCATCATGTTATATTATACTTTAGATCTTCAGAACTTATTCTTGCTGCATAACTAAACCTTTTTAACCCTTTGACCA